TATGTATGATGAGGTATCATTGCTATAATTATGTCCCATTATGTGGCAAAAAGGATTTAGCAGATGTAATTAAGTTTACCAATCAGTTGACCTTAAGACAAAGGAATTAACTGGATGAATCTTGCCTAACCAAACTAGCCCTCTTTCTCTTTTGAGAAATTGCTTTAGCTATCTATTCTAATTCCTTTGCACTTCCAAATGAATTTTAGAATCACTTTCTAAATTTCTTCATAAATTTTAATTGGCATTATGCTGAATCTATAGATAAATTTTGGGAGAATTGACATCCTAACAATATTGAGTATTAATATCTCAGGCCAAAAGTTTATAGTAATTCTATTATTATATAATTTATTATTACATTACAAGTTTAAATGTTCCATGTGCATTTGAAAAGAAAGTTTATTCTGTTATTGCTGTTAAGTTATCTAATTTTTTATTAAAACTAATCAAAGCGACCAGATAATTACCAAATTTCCACTTCGGTTTGCCAATTTTTCAGTAATATGTCTTTCTCCTATTCTGCAGTTGTTGGATGAAGTGCTCTGTAAATGTCAATTAGATCAAGTTGGTTGTTACTTCTGCTTCAATCTTGTATGTCCACATTGATTTTCTGTCTATCAATTATTAAGAGAGGGCTATTGAAATCTCTGATTATGACTCATGTTAATTCAAATTAAGGAAAAGGAAGGCAGGTTCAGTTCACCAACCTCCGCTGGTGTACATGTGGGGGTGAGGGTGGTGCTACCAGGAGTGACTTGAGCTTTCTTAAAATTTGGCTAGGCCCTTTAGGCTGCCCCAGCAAATGTGCTGTATAAATAAAGACAAAGTGCTTGCTATAAAAATGCAGCTTCAAAGCTAATCTCCTTTTCATTCTTTTCACTCCCTTTCAACCTTACTGTTTTCTCTACATATAAAGCCTTATATATAAATAATATTCATATTATTTGATGTATCTATATACCTGTACATAAGTTCTTTATTTATATTTATATTTATATCCCTGTATACAGATCTGGAGATACTAGTCTGGGTATAGTATTAGCAGTCTTATGTTTCACGACACATAGTATTCAATGTTGTAACATAAAAAAATTGGCATATTCTTGAAAATTCTGAGCAAGTAAGTACATGGAGAGACAGATATTGTCAATTTTTGAACTCATAAATTGTAGAAATGATTTAGGAATTACCTGAATTATAGTACACCTGGGATTTAAGAGAATGTTGAGTTCAGGTACCAAATCTTTTTGTTAGAAGTGTGGTCTGGTTTTCAATGTTGCATTCACAGCTGACACGGATAACTGAGAAATAACTGGGAGCAAAACCTATTGTCTTTATGCACCTTTGAGCATCTAGCTAACTTGCAATATCTTGATATTTTGAATAATTATTTTTAAAGTTTAATTTGAATACAAAATTGACAGATTTTTAAGCTTCATGTCACTGTTTATTTAGGTTGGATAAGAGAGGTTTCATGGGAGTTACTGTTTATAGACTGTTAGAGATCCCTCAGTCAATGTCAAGGCTGTTGCATGTGGATAGTTCCTTGAATTATAGCACAGAAACTTTAATACCTACTTCAGGAATGATAGGAGTCTTAAATAGGCAGTCATATTTACTAAAGAAACCTAGAGTTTTCTTAGATTGCCAACCTTAGCAAGACAAGAAATGTCAGGGTGACAGAGTTTAAGTGGCTCTTTTCAGATATGTTACACTGATTCTCTATATTTAAGATGCAAAACAGCTACCAGGAGCTATTTAATTAAGTGAAAGTCAGTCTAGTCCCTTTGGAACTGAATGGTTCAGTGAGCAAATACACATCAGCAAGTGAAGGAAGTGGGGAAGTTATTATGTGCTTCATAGACACGGTGACACTTTATAACCCCATATCAGGGATCCTAAACAGTGATTGGTTGAGAAAATTATCAAACTGAGTTTAAATTTCAGCAGGTACAAAATTATCACTCAAAAGTCCAGGACAGTGTGCAACTCTCAGTCTTCAAAGAGAAAGATAAGAAATTCTGGATTTTCAAAGCCCCATTGAAGGCTTTTAAGGTAAGATGGGACATACTTTTTACTCAGACCCAACTGATTCCTCTAGAAAGAACTGTGAATTTCAGAGAAGGTGCCAACTTGATTTTAAGAAATGAATAACCCTTTATGATTAGATGTTCTTCCCTTTTGACTTATCCAGAGTATGTATTAAAACACAATGGAAAATTATGTGGTAAGGGATGCTAATTCCAAATGGTGAAATGTCACATCAATAAGAATAGGACTTTTTGTTCACAGCCAGTATGTTGTTAAAATATCAGTTGCTCATAGTCATAAAAAGTATACATAAGATGAAGCAAATATTTTAAACCTAAAATATTAACAAAAGGAGTTATTTTATTTTATGTATAATTCCCTAAAGCTCTGTTACTGTTACTTTTACCCAGAAAAAAAAATATTTGTAAGAACCTTAAATCCGGCCAAAGCCATTTGTCAGCTTCAGCAGTGCAATGTTAAGATGTGATAGGATTTAATGAAAAAGGAAAGAAATAATTTCTTCCTCTTTAATATAGTAACAATAGTAACATTAAAACACTGGCTCATTAAGAAATAAAAATGGATATGGGAATTTGATTTCACATGTTATGCTACATTTGTTTCAAACTCTGGCTGATCCATACAACTATAAGCTCCATGAGGGCAGGGCTCATGTCTGTTCCCAGGACTAGGTATCTGGACCATACTAGGCCCCCAGATGTTTGTTGAATAAATGAATGAATCAATCCAAGTTTACATTTAATTCGTTGGATCTTGTAAAATCAACTTTTGGCTAGGCAAATTAATTTTTCTTGACATTTGACTTTAGGTTTTTAAAAGCTAGTTTAAAACACTTCTACTTGGGATCTACAGATCTGACTTCTGTCACAAGCCTTTTCCATTTTAAAACATCATGATAGTTTTGGAAGAAGAAAGACATGTGACTGACTAACTGGCAAGCTGAGGTAGAAATTTGATAATTATCTGGTCACTATGATTAGTTTTGATAAAAAATTATGTTACAGATTTTAAAAATCCACCTCGGGCTTTCAAACAAAGCTTTCATTAGATCTCACTATTTTCATTAGGCTTTTCACTACTTTTTTATTTACTTGTCCAAATTAACTTGGTAATTGCTAAATCTTATTTCATGTGTGAAAATAAACAAAGGTTCACTCAATTCTGAAGCCTCTGCTTTAGGCAGACAACTTATAGGCGTTTCTGTAGTACTTTTTCAGGCCATTTAACTGCGCTGGTAAACAGTGACAAGCATCGTCATGTAGTTTGGTAAACAGTGACAAACATCATCGTGTAGTTGTTGTGGAGTGGAGTTGAAAAAGAGCTAAAGTGGTCAGCTTGCTGGATTGCACTTTAGAAATGGGGTGCTCATCACTCTGGCCCTCACTACAGGTACTTTGCAGGACGTGGTGGCTTCTCTATATCACAGTGTAGACTGGTCTCTGCAGATCTATGTAATAATTAGGTTTGGGACTGTTAAGTAAAGTATAACTCCTGCTTTTTAAACAGCTGGACTTCAACACCTATGCCCCAGAGCTCTGCATTGTACTTATCCCAAGGTCACCTCAGCCTCATTTTAATCTAAGCATTTTTGAAGGAGGTCTAGCTATTCTTGGCTTTCTGCTGAACAGCTACAAGATGAAGCACTTATTTTTTCTCAGTAGTTCTGGAACTGTATCCTCTTTCCTGTGAGGAAATGCCAACAAATTCTTATGACAGTTCGTAGTCACTGAAGCTTTATTATATTTCTACTATTACCATTAAATTCAATCAAGGCCATTTTATGATATGCAGTGCTGTAATCTACAAATCCAGTGTGAGTTCATGAAACAGGGATAAAATTCTTCTTTCCTTTCTACAATAATAGTCTCATTGCATCAAGAAATCCAACTTGTAGTAAATAGGAACTTAAATTTTTGATTCACAGAGATTATACAATGTCTGTTCCAACATATCAAAAATGTGTATTAGACCATTTCTGAATTTGAATTCTAATAGGATGAAAGATAATGTTTTTAGAAGTCCTACATAAAAGTTGCTATCATTTATTAAGAGATTTCAAAGTGCTGGAATAGGGTTAGGTATTGCTGTAATCACCAAGATCCTTGCCTAGGTCTCAAGAGCTTATAGCAGGGCAGGGGAACTTGTAAGTCACCAAGAAATTTTAAAGCAGTGCAATATGTTACTAGTGAGGTGTGCAGAAACTACTGTGCATGAAGAGGAGAGAGACACTAAACTCCTTTTGGAAAGGAATCAGAGAAGGCTTCTCAGAGATAATCCTGCTAAACCTCGAGATAATTGTGAGGTGCAGGTATTGTCATTATTATTGTTATTCTAGATGGAGGAAACAAAGCTTAATATAGCTACTTAAATTTCTCAAGCTCACACAGCAAGTGGAAGAGGCAGAATTTGAACCCAGGTCTCTGAATCCAAACCCCATGTTCTTTCCACTAGCCTAGGTTCCCTATGCTAGTAATGTCTTTCTCTTAATGTCTAGTAGAGCTCAATTCTATAGATTTGGGGTGGGGGTTACGAGTGCTTCATCTTTTAAGCACTATCTTAGTAGAATTAGTTAACACTTGATCAAGGCTATTCAGAAGAGAGAGACGTTACTACCATCAAGAACTACCGACAGACAGTTATGGCTATGCCCTTTGTACCTACACGGCTGTTCCCCTTCACTGGCACAGGCAGAAAAGGTCTAGGAAGCTACATCAGAGCTGAGCCTGATAACACCCCCACGTGTCTCCATAACCACACCAGGTGTGTTCTGGAACATTGTTAGTCTTCTTCTCATGCTGGATGCATACCTTGCCCAGGAAAAGGACAAAAGCTTACAAACCAAAATAATATGTTACTGTGGTTATCATCTTTTACTATATAAGTAATTTTGGGCTATCCTCTTTTCTTCAAAAAAATACAGCTGGGGAATATTATTCCAAAAGAAAATGAAGATAATTATATATTTTTGCATTTGGGCAGCAGCATGGGCCATTCCAGTAAGTATACCTTCCTCAGAAAACCTCCTCACTTTGCTATCTCTTTTCATCTAGGATTTAAATGCATATATAAATTGTTTCCTTAAGAAACAGATAAGCTGACTCTGTACATTTAGATTTGCATTAAAGACTTTACAAGGTATCTTTGCAGTCTCAAAAACCAAATATACACTTCAATTCTTGTCCCCATTCCTCCAAGTGAAACTCATGTCTTATCAGAAAAATTATTATTTAACAAATTTATTCAGATTAATTTACATTCAGTACAAAGAAGTCATGGAGACTTTGTCCATCTTTGCTTCACGCCCTGTGAATTTTACTCTAATGTCAAAAAAGCCTGTGCTGTTTAGGAAGTTTTCAAAAAAGAATAATAGGAAAAAATAGGATTTTTCAACATATGAGAAAACTATATATCACTCAGAGAGTTATTATTTATTTGCTCACTGTGGAAAACTTGGAATATACAGATAAACACCAATAAAGAAAAATGAGGAAAATTAAACCATTTGTAATTTTATTAACCAGGCTTTGTATTTAACATTTTTATATGCTTTCACAATACCAGACATTTTGGTATTTGTGTAGTTGAGAATATACTGAAATATTTTAAATGTGCTCTAGTGGAGCACAGCAGTAGTGTCATATTACTTTATTTTGCTTCTACACTGAGTTTGATCCCACCAGCTATTCTCTTAGGAGTTTTGGCCAGGACTATACTCAGGATGGGTCTTGTACAATGTACAGAAACACCAAAGGTCTGTCTTCTTGTCTTTATAAAAGACTACTCTCCTTCTACAGTTTAGATGAGTGGTCTGGTTAACACTTCAATAAAACTGATAATACCATTATGAAAAATAAGACAGTTTGTGGAAAAATAGGATTAAAAGACAATACAAATCTTTCTATGAACTATTTGAAGTACCCTCATATTCATATGTGCAGTTTAAATTCTACATAAGCCCTGTAACAAACCTCTTCTTTTTTCTACGTGATTAGATAATGCTTTGGCCTTTGTGTTATATCTTTTTTTCTTCACTGAGGGAAAAATGTGTATGTGTATGTGTGTGTGTGTGTGTGTGTGTGTGTGTGCATGGACACGCACACGCACATACACAAAATAAGAATCTTTTCAATATCCAGTATTTTTACTTTGGCAGGTTCCTCAAATCAAACCATTGGAGAGACATGCTGTTGAAAAGTCTGTGAATTTACATCTTATAGCAAAATCAAAAGTGCCACTACAGGTATGGGATATAAAATGTTTTTCCTTTTATTTTATATTTCCAAGCTGTTTGCATTTAACTTCCCCCAAATCACCACCCATCTTTTCAGCTTACTTTACTCCAAGATAGCACCCATAGTTTATTTTGAATTGTATCTCTTTTTCAGGAAGAGTTAAATGCCAGTGACACCGCCAAAGAAAGTGGTGCCCCCAGGCATGGAAGTGAAAGAGGAAGGCAACAGCATGCCGGAGACAGTGACAAAGGAGCAGGGAATGGCTCTGAGTGGGCAGAAGGAGGGAAGCGTTCTCCACATTCCACATTAGCAAACAAAGAGGGGGATATTGAGGATTGGAATGGGGGTACAGGAAAACCAGAAACATATGGTCATGATGGGATATGTGGAAAAGAAAGTAATGCTACAGAAAATGGCATCAGGCAACACGTAAGCATCATCAGCGATGCTGAAGCATCAGATGGGGGCAATATTGATGGAAATACTGATGAGAATACAGAAAATGGGGATGTCGGAGATGCAAGTCAGAATGCGGGTGCCACTGTTGTCCTGGAAGATGGACCTCCAGTAGATGGGAGCACTAATGGCACAGACCACAGGGATGAGATAAGTGGGAATTCCTGGAGAAAGGAGAGTGATACAAGTGAAATGACACGTCAGACAGAAGGGGAGAGAAAGGGGAATGAGGCAGCTGAGGCAACACCAGGCAATGGAGAAGGTCCTGGCCTGGATAATTCTCATGGGAGTCCCAGCGGGGATGGAGCAGACGAGCATGAAGACCAGGGCTCTGGTGATGATGAAGGTGAAGAAGCAGGGAATGGAAAAGAGGGTGGTGATAACAGCAATGGCCGGGAAGGTCAAGGTCATGGAAAAGAAGATGACGATGACAATAGCATTGGTCGAAATTCTATTAGTGCTGAAGATGATGACCCTGAAGGCGAAGAAGATCCCCATAATGACAGTGACAGAACCAACGCACCCAAAAGTGAGGAGGATTCTGACGGCGTTCCAGAGGACAGAGGTAGCCAGAGAACAGANATGGCACAGACCACAGGGATGAGATAAGTGGGAATTCCTGGAGAAAGGAGAGTGATACAAGGGAAATGACACGTCAGACAGAAGGGGAGAGAAAGGGGAATGAGGTGGCTGAGGCAACACCAGGCAATGGAGAAGGTCCTGGCCTGGATAATTCTCATGGGAGTCCCAGCGGGGATGGAGCAGACGAGCATGAAGACCAGGGCTCTGGTGATGATGAAGGTGAAGAAGCAGGGAATGGAAAAGAGGGTGGTGATAACAGCAATGGCCGGGAAGGTCAAGGTCATGGAAAAGAAGATGACGATGACAATAGCATTGGTCAAAATTCTATTAGTGCTGAAGATGATGACCCTGAAGGCGAAGAAGATCCCCATAATGACAGTGACAGAACCAACACACCCAAAAGTGAGGAGGATTCTGACGGCGTTCCAGAGGACAGAGGTAGCCAGAGAACAGAGGACACCCAGAATCCCAATCACAGAGAAAGCAAAGGTGTGGGAGACGGGATCACCAAAGAATCGGAGCCAAGTGCTGTTGGAAAGAGCCAAGACGAGGTTAGTTTGAGAAGCTGATTTCTTTCAATGGCAGTTAAAATTTTGCCCTCTGCCCAATGACGGTAGCACAAAAACAGATCACGAAAAACATCCATGTATTTTTGTGTCCATATTACTTGAATATTTAGTGGCAAAGCTAGAGTCCTTACTAGACTTTGATATAGAACAATTTTAAAAATCAAACGTTTCTAAAAATTTGCTAAGTAATGAATCCCCGATGTAATGGTTTACAAAAGTTCCTACTGGGGTGGGGAGAAATGTTAATGGGTTGTTAAGGAATCTAGAAATCAGATGACTTTCATGTCCTGAATAAAGCAGGTTTCCACAAATAACTGGAGTACTGCAAGCTAAACTCCTATCCCTATGATCACCTTTCTCAGCCATTCTTCAGACCAACACAATTTTACAGCCATATTCACTAGTCATTCTTTTCTTTATCATTCCATAGGGAATAGAAGTCAAAGGTCCCAGCAGCGGTAACAGAAATAATGTTACCAAAGAAGCTGGGAAAGTCAATGAAGATAGAGAGAGTAAAGGACATGGAATGATCACGGGCAAAGGAAATGTAAAGACACGAGGAGAGGTTGACAACACACAAGGACCTGGCCAGAAATCAGAACCTGGAAGCAAAGTTGGACACAGCAGAACAGGTAGTAACAGCAACAGTGACGGATATGACAGTTATGATTTGGATGATGAATCCATGCAAGGAGATGATCCCAATAGCACTGATGAGTCTAATGGCAATGATGATGCTAATTCAGGTAGTGACAATGACAGCAGTAGTCGAGGAGATACTTCTTATAACTCTGATGAATCAAAAGGTAATGGCAATGACAGTGACTCAAAAGGGGAAGGAGATGACAATGACAGTGATAGCACAAAGGATGCTAATGATAGTGATAGTAATGGCAATGGTAATAATGGGAATGATGACAATGACAAATCAGACAGCAGCACAAGTAAATCAGATAGCAGTGACAGTAGTAACAGCAGTGACAGTAGCAAGAGTAGTGACAGCACTAATAGTAGTGATGGTAGTGACAGTGACAGCAGTGACAGCAGCAACAGCAGCAAGAGTAGTGATAGCAGTGACAGCAGCAACAGCAGCAAGAGTAGTGATAGCAGTGACAGCAGCAACAGCAGTGATAGTAGTGACAGCAGTGACAGTGACAGCAGTGACAGCAGCAACAGCAGTGATAGTAGTGACAGCAGTGACAGTGACAGCAGTGACAGCAGAAGGAATAATGATAGTGACAGCAGTGATAGTAGTGACAGCACTGATAGTGACAGTAAGTCGGACAGCAGTGATGGCAGTGACAGCACCAGTAGCAGTGACAGTAGTGACAGCAGCAACAGCAGTGATAGTGACAGCAAATCAGACAGCAGTGACAGCAACAGTAGCAGTGACAGTAGTGACAGCAGTGACAGTAGCAACAGCAGTGACAGCAGCAACAGCAGTGACAGTGACAGCAGTGACAGCAGAAAGAGTAATGATAAGAGTGACAGCAGTGATAGTAGTGACAGCAGTGATAGTGACAGTAAGTCAGACAGCAGTGACAGTAACAGTAGCAGCGACAGTAGTGACAGCAGCAACAGCAGTGATAGTGACAGCAAATCCGACAGCAGTGACAGCAACAGTAGCAGCGACAGTAGTGACAGCAGCGACAGCAGCAACAGTAATGCCAGCAACAGTAGTGACAGCAGTGACAGTAATAACAGCAGTGACAGTAGCGACAGCAGTGACAGCAGCAGCAGTGACAATGACAGCAAACCAGGTAGTGACAGTAGTGACAGTGACAGTGACAGTAAGTCAGATAACAGCAGCAGTAGCAGTGACAGCAGCAACAGCAGCAATAGTAGTGACAGCAACAGTAGCAATAGTAGTGACAGCAGTGACAGTAGCGACAACAGTGATAGCAGTGACAGTAGTGACAGCAACAGTAGTGACAGCAGTGACAGTAGTGACAGCAGTGACAGTAGTGACAGCAGTGACAGCAGTGATAGTAGTGACAGCAGCAATAGCAGTGACAGTAGTGACAGCAGTGATAGCAGTGACAGTAGTGACAGCAGTGATAGCAGTGACAGTAGTGACAGCAGTGACAGCAGTGATAGTAGTGACAGCAACAGTAGCAGCAACAGTAGTGACAGCAGTGACAGTAGTGACAGCAGTGATAGCAGTGACAGCAGTGACAGTAGTGACAGCAGTGACAGCAGTGCCAGCAGTGACAGCAGCAGCAGTGACAATGACAGCAAACCAGGTAGTGACAGTAGTGACAGTGACAGTAAGTCAGATAACAGTGGCAGTAGCAGTGACAGCAGCAACAGCAGCAACAGCAGCAATAGTAGTGACAGCAACAGTAGCAGCAATAGTAGTGACAGCAGTGACAGTAGCGACAACAGTGATAGCAGTGACAGTAGT